GCACAGTGACAAATCAATGCCTTCCAGAGCACAGGGACCTGAAAAGCCAAAACCCAATGCACTTCAAGAACGCAAAGGTACTTTTTAGGGGTGTGCTACCTCCTAAAGAACCCCTTAAATGCACTTCTAACTATTGGGGGCCCACCACAGAGTTCACCACACTTCCTAGAACATCGACCTGTGGTTTCTGTCATTGGCTGTGAAACCGCTTGCAAGGAATCAGGACCAGAATGCACAACTTGCCTTTATTCTCATCCAGGATCAGCATACACGGCCCAGGAGCTTTGTACACTGGACTCATCAGATTAGAAGAATTTGTGCCTTGCTATAAAATTCCTCCCTTATGCCATCAATAGCACCCAAGCAAACAAAATAAACAGAACTGAATGCCTTTGCATGCACGCACTACCACGGCTGCCGTGTTTCTGTACATGCAGGCTGCCAGGGCCTGAGACAGCTGGCCGAGTGAGACACAAACCTGAGGCAGCCTTCATGCAGTGTGGATGGTGAGAAAAAACTGGAAGGCAGTTTCGATTCTCAGAGATTTGTTTCTTCAGCTGCTGAAACTGCTCCAAGGAACGTACAAGCTTTAAAATTACGTGTGAAAAAAGGCTTTGTGCAGCCCGACCAGCGCTCAGGATCACAGCCTGCTATGCCCTGCATTCGCTTCAGCTGAAACAACGGGGCTCCAGGAAAGGCTTGTAAAATTCACCTCTCAAGCTGGACTTTCCAAGCAAAGCGTTACCGGCTTTGCCACAAAGGGCGTTTCAGAAGCACAGGAAACAGCGACCTGAGGAGCGGGGATCGCCTCCGCACTGCCCATGAGCTGCCGCCAGCGCAGCCCTCTCGGCGGGGCACAGGGACCGGGCACGGGGGGCGGTCCGCCCCGGAGGAGGGGACGCCGCTTGGCGCCTGGAGGGCATCCCCGGCCCACCGGGACGGTACCGCAGCCGTAAAGGATCTAAGGTTCTCCTTTAGAAACCTTCGGCCCTCATCCTAGGCGAACCAACCGAGCCGCGTTTCCTCGTGCTGCTGAATCAGCAGTGCGGAGACACGCAAACGTGAAAAACCAGTTAATTGTGCCGGCAGCTCAGCCGTGCGGCACCACCGAGGGACTCCACCGGCAGCGCGGACGGGCAGGACCGGCTGTGGCGCCGGGCTCCTCGTGGGACACCGAGTACGTGTCGGAGCGCCGGGAAGCGCCCAGGGAGCAGCGGCGGGACGCGTGGCCCTCGGGCTCTCCGCTGGGAGCCGAGCGGTGCGCTGCGCCACGCAGAGGCACAGAGCACGGCCGAGCGGGACGCGGCTCCAGCGCTGCCCCCCCTCCCCAACTCCCCGCGGCTCCGACGCGGCCCTCCCGCCCCCAGCTGACCGCCACGTCCCCGCGGCACCGAGCCAGGCCGCACGGAAGGGCCGAAAGAGGGCGGCGGGGAGAGGCACGGTGAGGCCGAGCCGCGCGGATCTCGGCCGCCACCACCGGACCGCCACCGACACGGGCCCGTCCCGCACCCACCTGCGTGTCGGCCGCCATGGCGCCGCCTGCGCCCCCGGAAGCGCTCCCTACTTCCGGTGCGGCGAGCGCCGCAAGGCATGCCGGGACAGATACAACACCGCACCTGGCCACCCCACCCCGCCTGCAGGGGGCGCCTTGCAACAGCCCAGCCCACCCCGCTCCACCCCGTCCTCCCCGCCTGCAGGGGGCGCCGCACCGCTGCCCGCCCACCCCGCCCGCTGGAGCACCGAGCACAGCGCCGGGACACGGGACAGCATTCGGTACAGAGCTTTATTTGCGGCCACAGGGCCGGCAGCCCGCTAGTCGAAGAGGCCGAAGCCCATGTCTTCGTCAGACTCCTCAGATTCCTCCTTTGGCGCCTCCTTGGCCGGGGCAGCAGCAGCAGCAGCAGGTGCAGCTGTTTCAGTGACCACTGGAGCGGCCGCCACAAAGGCGGAGGGGTCAGCCAGGAATGCCTTCACCTGCAAAGGGAAACGCAGAGCTCAGGCAAACCGCATGTGTGCCAGGATGGGGCCTCTGCTACCAAAGAAGCAACGCTCGCTGCAAGCGCTGTGAGCCCCAACAGCCCCAGAGCTGCAGGTCAGCTGTGGCCGTTACCTTTTCAGCCAGTGGGAAGCTGTAGTCAGTCTCCACCGCCACCGCCAGCACCCGCTTGTACCCATTGACAATGGAGTGGGGCACGGAAGCGATGGTCGGGTACCCGATCTGCAGGCAGACGCTGGCAACGTTACGAACACCCTGCGAGGGAGAAGTCTGTGTCTGTGCGGGGCCAGCACCCAGGCTCCAACCGACAGGCAGTGGCACATCGCACAGAATCCACGTAACACAGCTCCAGTGAACTACACGAGACATCGGTATCTAAACCATCTCCAGACTTTTCTGAAGCCTCTTCCAGATTCCACACGTGCTTCACTGTCTTAACATGTTCACTGATTCCACACACACCTCACTTAATGAAAGACATGGTATATTTTCCCTTGCTTCAGCCAAAACAGCCTACAGAAGGCACTCCTTGGCCAACCATTTCTCCAGGACACCTGGGAGAGCTCCTGGCTCTGCAGCACTGCAGAAAACACCAGAGGCGACACTCCGCCCTGGGACAGGGCCTCCTGTTCTTTTTCTCCCTGCAGTGAAAGAGCTGAACGTAATAATAAACAGGGGCTGTAGCACTGACCTCCAGGAAACGCTTGTGCAGGGTCTCCTCGGTGATGTCCAGCACTTCAGGGTTGTAAATGCTGCCACTGTCAAAGACCTGCTGGATCACCAGTCCAAAGGAGAAGGGAGAGATGTTCAGCATGTTCAGCAGGGTGGCTTCGCTGGCACCCACTTTGTCTCCGGTCTTAATGAGCTGCACATCACTCTGAGAAAAGAAGAGGAAAAATGAGTGAATACACACTGAGATATTCAGGTAAACCAATACAGCAGCACACAAAAGTATATTCCTAATGATAAGAAATGGAACTGAAGTAATAAAGGAGCACAAGGAAAAGACACTGAAAGTTCACCTCCACAAGCTAAGGCCTCGTGAGCAAGTGCTGCTCATCCGGAGGAAAGCAGTGCCTTAACTCGGCTCCTTACAGCTCATTAATCCTCCTCACAGCTGGGAATTGATGGAGGAACTTAAACCCATGTCCCACTCCACCACCAAACTGAACCAAGCCCAAAATGAAGCAGTGAGACTGCTAAAACGGCATCTCATTACAGATGGAATCATCAATCCTTGCTCCTGACCAGAATTTCAATGGTCCCTCTGGAAATCTTTGTGGTGATGCCCAAGGCCTGGAAAAATGAGGTCTTCTCAGGTCCGAGACCAGTGTTCTGGGCGGGCACAGTCACATCACAGGGAGCAATCGCACCAGCACGAGCAGCTGCCGGCACCTGCAGGAAGAAGAAACAAGGAGAGCTGCTGGAGGAGTGCTGACCTCTCAGGGGCATCAGCCTCATCCCGATGTGCTCCAGCAGGATGGACGTCAGCTGGGCACGCACAAGTGAGATGGAATTAAATACGGCTGAGTCACCCACATCTGGAGGGGCTGCAAACCACCAGGTAACCCTGACAGTTCTGTATTATCTTTAACTCAGCAACTGCCAGCCCCGGCACTGCGAGGTCCCACCGCGTACCTTGTTGGCCAGCAGCATGTCCCGGATCTCAGTCAGATCCTCCTTGGTGAAGACAAAGCCCACGTTCCCACGGATGTGAGGCAGCAGCCTGAAGGAAAGCAAAGCGTTCAGCCCCCCTCCTCACACGCATCCCAGGGAGGCTCGGGGCGGTACGCACTTCTCCAAGGCGGGGTTGTTCTCCAGGTGCCCGCGGATGGCTTTGCGCATCATCGTGTTCTTCCCCATCAGCACCACGGCCTTCCCGCGCAGCGACATGCGGATCTGCTGCATCTGCTTGGAGCCCACGTTGTCCGCTCCCACCACGAAGCATTTCGGGTAATCATCCAGCAGTTGCTGCGGCACACGGAGCACCGTCAGCACCGTGCAGCTCCGGCCGCTCCGTGCGCTTCCCAACGCGTTTATCACGGCCGGGCGGCGCTCGGGCCCTGCCCGCATCGCGCAGCAGCCGCAAGGCGCGGCCCGGCCCCGCTCCCCCCGGCGCCCCAGCGGCACTCACGATGATTTTCATAAAGTAGTTGGACTTCCACGTCGCCCTGTCTTCCCTGGGCATCGCGGCGGTGCTCCAAGGATCGCCCGGCGGGTTTAAAGACGAGCTGTGAGCTGCGAGAAAGGCGAGGTCAGCCGGCCCCGCGCCCTACCCGCTCCCCCACCCTCCCGAGCCCGGACTCCGCGCTCCCCCCGTGGCCCCGACACCTCCGGGGCGCTTCGGGCCTGCAGCCGCCCGGGAGGCGCCGCGCGGCGCACCCACCTCCACGAGGGCTCCGGGAAAGAAGGGCCGGAGGGCGGGGCCGCCGCCTTTCATACAGCGGCTCTCGCCCAATCGCAGCGAGCCACGGAAGGGTTCTCGCGCAGCCCATTGGCTGCCCGCAACCGCCAATCGGGGCGGACGGCGGCTCCGGTTGGGCGACGCGCTCGTCACTCACAGGAGTGGCGCCGCACTACGGCGGAAGGCGCGGCGCGCTCCCTAGCGGTCGGAGGAGCGCGCTGCAGCGGAGGGGGCGGCGCTGACGGACAGAGCGGCACCGGCACGGAATAACGGTACAAACTTTATTGGCGTAACTGCAAGAACGTAAATGGAAGCAAAGCGCAGCGAGAGCGTTACATGGCGGGGAGGCGACGCGGCGAGGCCCCAGCAGAGCCGGTTATTGCCTTCCGAGGGCTGCGGGGCTCGGCCCGCCCGTAGCGCCGTTGCGAGGAGGCGGCACCGGCACAGCCCGGCACGGCGCTCCGCCCCCCGCGGCTCTCCGCCCCGCCCCGCCCCGCAGCCCGAGCTGCGCTCCCCGGCCCCGAGCCGCGCTAAGCGGCGCCCCGCACCCGTTGGGTTGAACGGCACCGCGACCGCAGCGCTGATAGAAAAGTCGCTCTCTTTAAAATCACTTCAAAACCAATTTCTGTATAAGAGGATTAAAAGCAAATTAGATACGAATTCGAAAATCAGTGTAGAAATCTTATCAAAGACAGGATACAGTATTCGTTCCCATAGTAAAACCGGGCGTGTTGCAGAGCCCGCCCGGGGTTTGGCAGAACAGTCAGTATAAAAGTTATTGCTGTAGCATCTCTTAGTAGCACACGTGGGACGGGAGCAGAGAGGGGAAGGGCCGAAGGCTGGCAGCTCTCGTTAGCAAAGAGAGGAAGAAGAAAGAGAAAGTTAGGACTTGGTTTGTTTCCTGGCTTCTTAAACCCCTCCGCTTCTTCCCCCCCTCCCTCGGGAGGAGCTCAGGCCCTGACAGTGGGACACAGCCTGCACTCCTGCTGGGGATGGGCAGCAGTGCTGTGCTCTGACTCCCTGCACCAACGCTTCTGAAGGGGGACAGCACCCACTGCTTCCACGTGCTGAGAAGAGGCATGGAGTAACAAACCAGGAAGAACCCACAGAGTAACACCTTCATTCCTCTTAAAACAACAACAACAAAAAGTGGTATCAACTCCTTACAGTGTAATGGAACTGGAGAGACCCTTGCAGGGCCGTGGCAGCCTGTGCTGAGGCTCTGGTCTGTAAGTCACACATGCCACGTGGCTCTAGGAGCAGAGGCAGGGTGCTGCTGAGATCACGGGATGCCCTCGCTGTGCCAGGTGTCAAAACTGCTGTCTGCAAGTGTCAGGGTTTGCCCAGAGCTGACACAGGCAGAATCCTGCACGCAGAGCTGCTCCTGGCAGCAGGGGCTGAGGACAGCCTCCCTGGTGGAGCCCTGGGGCTAAGCTCAGCTGTCAGTCATACACAGATACACCGTAATGAGGGGACCGAGCCTCTCTCTACTGAGACACAGCAAGGGCATTTCCAGTTTAATGGTCCGTCTCATCTCTGGATCTACTGCCTCTCTGCAGCAGCACTGAGCACTGCCACCCGCCCCCTCCCCTGCCTGGTAAGGTTTCTAAATCACAGTAATGTTCAAAGAGACAGAACTGCCACAAGGGGCGGCAGAAAGATGCTTAGCTCCCATCTATGATGCCTTTAACAGAAGAGTTTGAGAAAGCAGTTCTGACAGTAGGGCTTGTCGTTCTGTTCTTTGAAGGTTCCTTTGTTGAGCTGCTTGAGGCAGAAGGCACAGACAAAGTGTTCAGGGTGAAATTTCTTGCCCATGGCAGTGATGCAGCGTCCCGTGATGGGCTTCTGGCAGCCAGAGCACAGCGAGCCGCGGCGCTCGTGGTAATGCACCTCACAGTAGGGCTGCCCATCGTGCTCGAAGAAGCTGCCGTTGATGAATGGTGTGAAACATTCCTGCAGGAGGAGAAAGCAGAAGGGGACAGGTTCAGCAATGAGCTGGAGACGCGGGCAGCTCACAGACCTCAGCTCTGCGGCACAAACCAGCCGCACCGCAGGCAGTGTGAGTTGCTGCCTTTCATCATCCTGCCGTGCACCGAACCAAACTCCTGTCTGTTGAGAAGAGCCTCTGAGGAAAGGCCGAGAGATGGACAGGTACAGCCACAGGCAAGGGAAACAGCCACGGCTTCAGCTGGCTTCCCTCGCACAAAGGAAATAAAACCAGCTACCAGGCAGGAGGAGGAACGCTCCTTCCCTTGGGACAGGAAACACTGCAGCACCTTCCTCTCCTTTTATCTCCTAATCTCAGCCCAGCTTCCCCACAGTGGGAACCAGGGAACGGGGACTAACAAAGTTTTCTTACAGCAAAATGTAATGAATTTGGGGCTGGTTCCAAAAGACAAAAAAGAATGTTTTCAAAAGCAGTCTCTGCAGCTCAGCTGGCATTAGAGATATGCTTTGCACAGGATCCGGATTCCATTCACTGAACACAGCAGCAGAAGGGCGCAGAGGAGAAGCCAGATCTCCAGAATCCAGCCCAGACACCAACCTCTTTCCCACAAAGAAAGCTCAGCTGGGCCCCAACACAAACAAGAGCCCAGCAAACAACATGCAGAGCCACAAGCAGCTGAACACTCACAACACCATGGTCAAACACCATTTGCCTACAGCAAGTCCAAAACTTATCTTGTGCAGACAATTAGTCTAATAAACAGCCTCCTTCCTCAGCAGCAGGGAGTCTTCTCTGCTTTGGCAAAATGGGGAAGAATCCTGCTTTGTGTCTTGGAAGACATCAGAGCTAGCCCCACTAAAACAAGCAGTGCAGCAGCAGGGAGAAGGAAAGCAGAACTGCATGAAAGCAGCTCAGTGCTGGCACAAAAAGCCTGGCCCTGCCTGGCCCCACGCAGCAAGCACTGCCATTTCTGGCTCCACTCCCCATGCGCCACTGCAGGAGCCAGACAGCAATGGACAGGCAGTGCAGTGCCCTGAACAGCAGGAACCAGCAGCTCGTGATTCTGCTGCTTAATCTGGCCTCTGCCTTTTTGTTTCACTCTAGGAAACACTGGCTTGTATTTGCTCTTCTCTTGGGGCCTGTAAGAGATAATATTTGCAAGGCTCTCTGAAAGAGTGCCAAGCATTTAATCTGCAGTATTCCTGTTTATTATGCCTGTTGTATGGAGCCTGCCACTATTCCACTGACGTGCATGCTTGTCTGAACAAGGTCAGTTTCATTAGTTTATGCTGTCAGATGGAGCATGAGAGGAAGATCCTCAAAATCTGATCGTTGAGGCAAGTGCTTAGAGAGAAGCTTAGCTTATAATTGTTTAAAGGTCACAAAACATGTCTCTGTTTATCTGTGCTCTGCTGCAGAAGCCCTTTAACTGCAGCAGGGAACAGAAAGAGCAATGCAGCAAGAAGGTTTCATGTAAACAGGCAGAGGAGCAAGAAGGTGTTTGGTTGCTGACGTTTTTATCTTGTGGTGCTGGTGGTCTCTCATGACCCCAGAGATTCCTCCTTCCTGATAAGGGACCAGATGCCTGCAGGATGTGAAGGACAGGGGTCCAGCAGCCACAAAGGACCTTGGTTTTCTTACCCGGCAGACAAAGCACTCAGGATGCCACAGGGTGTTTAAGGCAGAAATGTAATTTTCCAGGATAGCCCGGGCACAGCCTCCACACTTGGGAGCAAACATGTCAAAGTAATCCTTGCGGCAATAGGCTTTGCCATCCTTCTCATGAAATCCTGCCAAAGAAGAACAAAAGGCAAAGATCATCAGCTCCAGACCCTCATCTATGGCAGCCAAGCTCTGTGGGGTAAGCAGCGTGGGTAGGATCACCCTTCCTCTCCCATAACACACAGCAGGCAGCTGTTTCCTGCTGCCCTTCCTGTCCTGTGCACACACATGCTCATCCTCTCCAGAGACTAAGAGAGTGAAAAGATTTCTGTGAGATCCTTCCCCCATGAACAGCTACTTCCTTAGAACTTCCATCTCCAGTATTTCCTGTCAACTCAAGCCGGCCCCTAATAGCAGCTGTGCCTTACACACCTGTCTGCAGTTCAGGAAGGAGAATGTTTTCCCCTCACATTAACCCATAATACCTTCAGGTCCAAAGAAAACTCCACACTGGGCACAGAAAAAGTGTTCAGGGTGCCACGTCCTGTCCAAAGCCGTCACTACTTTCTGTTCAGAAGAAGACACAAAGAAAAGTCACATAAATCATGGCTTCAGCTTGGAGGTGAGCAAGAGGGGAGGGAAGAACACATTTAAGTCAACACTGCCAACTCCACGCATCAAAATAGATTGTTCTTTATAGAGCTGAATCAATTCTTCCCCGTCTCTAGCTCTTTTAGACCTTCCCTATGGCATACTTTTTTTTTTAAACCCTAAAAAGACCCTGCACACTGCTTCCTCCCTTACACAGGGCCCCTCCAGCTCTCAGGACTAGCACTGGTGCTGTTACTACAGGCTACCAGCAGAAAAGAGCTGGGGAGTCATCATCAAAACGATGAAACCACATGGAGTTTCAAAGGATTACAGCTTCAGGGAAGGTGAGGGGGACCGAACCACCTCATTAATGTAAAAAGTTGTACCAGATGGTGCTGTTTGCCTTTCACAGCAAGGGCAAAGGCAAAACAGAAGCCCCTGAAAACACCTTTCACACAGGACACACAGATAGAGCTTTTAACAGCAAGGCCTGCAGCACCTCGCCAGCACTCTGAACCCTAGCCAGGAACTCACATCAAGGATTGGCCCATTGCAGTAGTAGCAGCGAGGAGAGAAGAGGTTGTGATAGTCCTTCTCGCAGTAGGGCTGCCCATCCCGCTCAAAGAAGTTCCGTGACCCGATCTCCTCCTGGCAGTGGGTGCAGACAAAGTGCTCAGGGTGCCAGGTTTTCCCCATGGCTGTAACTACCTGTTGGGAAGACAGATTATGAAGGACAACTCCATCTCTCTCTCCCCAGACCACACGACAAGACACCAGCTGGAGGTTAGCAAGAATGGCAAGTTCTACTACTCAAGTGAGCCCTGGACTGGGGTAGCATGAAAACTGAATTACCTATCATCTCAGGAGAGGGCAGTCCCTCAAGGGCAGAGTAGAGGTCACTGGAGGAGCTTACAGCGTACCTAGCCAGTGGATAAATAGAGTACTTCAGTTTCTCCAGCATCTCCAGTCTCTTCAGCCTCACGAAAGAAGCCCTCCCCACTGCTCCCAGCTGCAGGCCAAGGCTCAGCAATCAGACAGCACCTTCAACCCACCTGCCCAGCAATTGGCTTCTTGCAGGCTCCACACACACCCTTGGCGACTGTTGCCACCCCCAGTTTGTTCAGGTCAGACTGCAGGCTTCCCAGCATGGTGTCCAGCTGACTGCCAGGCTTGGGGGTGGTGGATGGTGGGGAGCTGCTGCCGCTGGCCTTCCCCTGTGCCATGAACTGCAGGGAAGAGAAAACAAAGATTATACAGCAAACGTTGCTGCACTTCCCAGAAATATCTCTGCTCTTGCTGCCAGTGGCACTTCTGTAGAGACAAACCAGAGGCTGCTAGGAGACAGCTACGCTCTCTGCAGAAGCCTGGGAGAGCCAGGATCAAGTACACACATTCTGCCCATGCAGAGACATGCAGAGACCATGGGATATAAAACAGCAGAGCTGGCAACTAAGGATTTGACTTTCTTTTGCTGTACACACAGCAGAAGTTACTAGCTGTTCCCAAACACTCGGTACAGTGCTCTGTAAGCCTCTGCCAAAAATCTCCCTTTACCTCATCAGTTCCTGGCCAGCTGTCAAAGCACAGACACCATCCAGAGGGCCCCTTCCCTCTGACCTCTTTCTGTTCCTACTGCCACTCTATCCTTCTTAAAGGGATTCCTCCTCCACTCTCCATCTCCCTTTCAGCTAGATCTCCCTTTCCTCCACCTGCACTCCTTACGGACATTTCCTTTTTTGCCAAATCTCCTTTGCCCCATCAGGTGGCTCTCATCCCACGCCAAAGCTAAGCAAGTGGAAGCAGGAAGGAAACTCCCTTCAAGCTGCCTGTTGTTTACCCACACAGAGGGCAGTGGATCCACAGCAGAGCCTGAGCAGACAGGGCTGCAATGGAAACAGTGCCACGTCTGTTGCTGGACCTCTGGAAATGCACAGGGAAGGGGCTACAATCCTCATCCCAGGGGCAGCTTCTGGAACTCCAGTCACAGTACACACGGCTTGGAATGGCTCCCCAGAGGAGAACAGGGAGAGAAGTTTTATTTAGGTTCACAACTTAGGAACAAAGTATGTGCTCTCTTTGGACACCAATGCTGCTTTTACAGGAGAACTGCAGTAATGAGATAGAGATATTTTAGCTGACTGCACAGCAATAGCTACTCTCAGGCCTAGAAAGACCCACAGAAGTCGTGTCGTCCCCCCCCCCCCGAGATGCTGCTCTGAAGCATGTTTTCTCCTGCCACGGAGTCAGATTAAAAACAGATGTGAAATCCACACTTGTGAACGACCCACTAGCTGCCATCATGGGCAGGGGAGCAGGACTTCCTGAGGTGTTCCAGAGCCCTGGCAGATTCTGCCCTTCCAGCCACTGGAGGAGCTCTACTCCCTGTCCTGCAGCCAGTCGTGCTTGTAGCCAACCAGCTGACTCAGTGACCAACCTTGGTTTCCACTTGTCTGTAGAAAAATTCTCATGACATACATAATTTCCCAGCCCAGCAGCACAGAAAAGCCCCAGTGTCTGGAGCCTGGAATAAACTCTCTGCCATACAGCTGTTATTGCTACCAAACAGCTACAGTGAACATCTCCAAAGCACTCCACTGCAAGGAGACTGCTCACAGGAGAGGGACAGCAGGGCCCCATGTACACAGAGCCAGGGCAGAGTCCCAGGACAAGGTCAGGCACAGCACGAGGAAAAGGCTGGACAGAACTAAAAGAATTGTATCCTCTCTTGCTGAGCAGGGGCTTGTGGCCACAAGGCACAGGTTACACAGAGACAAATCATAAATACAATCTGGAAAGAAAGGAGAGGAGAAGAATTCAACACGTAGAAACACAGCACTTGTGGTGCCCTGCTGGTGTGGGCCATGCAGATGACCTCAGTGCAGGCCCAATGACCTGAGCACACTGCCACCACTACTTGGTTCAGCCTTCTGCCAGCTCACAAGTTTGTTTCCAACCTCCTGCACACACTGCCTGCTATTTGAAGGGGACACAGCACAGAATCCACACAAATCCGTCATGCAAAGGCCCTTCAAGCTGCCCCTTCACCACAGGACCTACCAGCACTCCGATTCAGCTGGGTGCTGTAGGAGCACCAAACCATGCACTACCAGACAGCAGCTAGGATCACCACGCTGCAAGCTCCAGGAGCAGCTCCCAGCACACACATCCACCCAAAAGCACACCATGCTGAGAGGAAACAAAGGAGCTCCTGCCTTCTCAGGGCTGGGAGGGGCTGGGGGCGCGCAGGCAGACAGCAGGTTGGCACTGCGGGTGAGGGGAGGAGCAGAGGTCACCTGAAAAGTACAACAGTTCAGGATGCAGAAGCTGGCTAGCTGCTGAGACCTGCTTGTACAAATAGCATGGCAAAACACCGTGCTGCTCACGTGCGTTACACCTTCCCAGCATCCCAGGGCTGCAACCCCTCCCTGACAGGAGGCACAGAGCAGCAGCTCCTCCTCCAAATGCAACAGGGACACCTCATCACACGGGTAAGCACAGGAAGGATTGAGATTTTGCTGTCAGTTTTCCATCCCTCTTCCCATCTCATGAGAGATTGTGGCAGGGAGAGTTGAGACCTGACTTTCAGAGCTACCTCCTTCATCTCAGAGGGAAACAAATCACAATCCCTGCTGCACAGAGGGCAGACAGGAAGCACCAACATCTCAGCAGACTGGTGCACAACCATGTAGTTTGCAGTGCCAGGCAGGCACGGCTGGCATTGATTTGATACCACTATGACTCTGCTCTTTCATTAAGTGGTTCAGAGCCAGCCTTCACCTGAACATCGTGTTTACTGAGCTACCAAGCTGACAGCAGTGGAAAGACTGGACAACACTGTGCTTAAAATTAAATAAAAAAGAAAGCAGAAAAGAGAATCCTGCCTGCATCCGCGGGAAGAAAGCCTCATCTTCTGTTTGACAGCCAACAGAAACAACTGTCTTGGTGCTAGGGGTCCAGGTCTGGGGAGAAGAGTGCCTAGGATCTTCAGAAGGAGGGGTGCCCACAACAGAGAGCTCATGATAATCAGCACCAGAAGCTTCCCACTGGAAAAGTGGCTGGGGAGCCAAGCGGGAGGAATAGGAGGAGGCTGGACATGGAGCTGAGGTAGCTAGTGCATGGGAGGGCTGAGCTGGCAGTGGGAGGACAGGTACGTGAGAGGGAGAAGCATTAGCAGGGACTGTCTTCACAGCTTCATTGGAAGGCTGGAGCAGGGGAGAGGCTGAAACAGAGACTGTCCTCCTTCGAGGGTGTGGGGATTCTGGAGGGAATACCACCTAGAGAGACAGGGAAGAAAAGTGAGTAAATCCAAAGAGGAACCAACAAGCACCTCCTGCAACAGGAAGGCTGGAAGCACAGACCAGTGAGTAATGATCTTTGCTGCCTCGTGCTCTCCCTCCTGCCCTTCTGAACCTCCCTGGTTTACATCAGAGCACAACTGGAACATCAACCTCACTGCCACACAGCCCAGCAAAGCAAGTAAGGACAGAGGCCTCTGGTTACCATCTTTATCTAAGGGGAAAAAAACAGCAAAGAACCAAGGGACAGGGAAAATAGAGAAGGGGACCAGAAAGCTTCCTTCTCTGTGTAGCTCTAAGAGCACCATCTTACACCCAGAACTTCCTGCACAGGCATGTACTGGGAAAGACAAGGCATTCCTCTGACAAGCCTCCCAGAAGGGTTTTCAAACAATACCCACACAGGTATTTGATATGCAGTAGCAGCAGATTGCCTAAACAGATACCATTACCAGCACCCTTAGATATCACCCCAATTCGTAAACATGAACTAGGAACTGAGAGCCAGTTTACTTTTCAGGTCAGAAGAGGCTGAGAAGGAGGAGTTAGTTCTTCACTTCATGTTGCTTAAGGTGTCACCTAACATACACCTCCACAAAATGCTGCCTAGACAGGAACATGCTCCAATTTCCCAGAAGTGGAAGTTCCCCTCACTTTCTACCTTCTCTATTTGCTGTCCACCATTTTGCTCTTCCCCCTGGGGTCGGGCAGTGATAATGACCCCCTCTGTCAGCCAGCCATTCTGGCTTTTCTGCTCCTCTTTTTCCTGTTTAGCAACTCCCAGTCTGTCCTGCAGCTCTTCAATCAAGCGATCTTGGGACTTGGTCTTGTGAAATATTGCAGGACCTAATTTACGCCTTGGAGAGAGGTCACGACTCATTGGATGCACATTGGAGGTTTCTTTTGTCCTCTTGATTAAAGACTTAATCTAGATGAAAAAGGCAATAGTGTCAGCAGAGAAAAGAGTAAGAGCAAGCCTCAAGATGCAACAGCACAAACTCAAGCCATTAGTGACAAATGTATGCAGGGAGAGTGATGACATTAATTCCACAATGCCAAAATTCTTCTTGGCACAGTCCAGAACAGTGACTCAGTGCAAGGAAAAACTCTGTAAGGATAACCACTGTAGCCAAAAATAACTATCTAGAAAAGGAAGGGAAAGATTACCCAGCAGAAAGCCAAGATACGAGGTGCAGCACAACCATTCCACTGAGCATTAAAGAAACTTTAGCATCACAAAGAAACACGGCAGACTTTCAGTGTGTGCCCTTTACAAGCACAAGACTCGTGGTCTGGTGCACCAAGCATACATCCAGAGCTGGAAGGAACACTAACAGGTCCAACAACAAGACCTAAAAAGGCAGAGGGACATCCTCCAGAGGAGTGAATCAGCCCTTTAACTTTTCAGAGGCCTTTATGGACTAAGCATCTGCCTCATTCCATTTAAGGAATAAAAACCCATTTCACTGGGCAGTCCCTACACTCTGCCACGTTCTGTGCTGCTGACTGACCTGCAGAACAGACCAGAAGACAAAGCAGAGGACTTAAAGCCCCCATGACATGCAGCTGTCAGTAGCGCTGCTCAGCACCACATGCTGTTAGTGTGGGTGGGCTCAGGCACACTCACACCACACACAAAACGTTAGTGCAGTCAGGACAGCCCCAGCTAGGACTCATCCTCCTCCCACATGTGTTCAGTGCCTGCCTGGCCTGATGCAGAAATCCTTTCAATGGGTGGTTTGGAGAGGCACGGCAAATCCCATTCAGCTTTCCAAGTGTTTTCAGGAGATTCTGGAGCAACTGCAGAGCTTCTGATCTGCTCATTTTCTCCATCTTCTCCAGCTTTGTTCATGATAGCAGTACCTGCCTTTCTGGGAGTTCTCTCCCTGCCCTGCCTCTTCTTGACCAGCTCAGGACAGCCACCTACTTGGATTTCAGGTGATACTTCAGCCTTTTGCTCCTGTCCTCGCTCCACAGCAAAGCCCAACTGTTTTTCAGTGTCTGGGAAGACAGCCCACTGATCCAGGCCCACAACAGAACGGTCACACACAGGACTCAAAATGCTGTCACCCTTTCTGTGTACTTCTGGTACATGCTCAGACAGCTCCAGGGCCCACAGCTCATCTAAAGCTGCTTTCACACTTCTGCCCTGAGAAGGAAGGGCTGAATTATCCCTGAACACTCCCTGCTGATCCAATTCTTTAGCTGCCTGCTCCTTCCCTTGATCACTTATACCAGTGTTTGAAACTGAGACGCTTGAGAGTTTGGGGTCACTTCTCTGCTCCTTTTTCTCACTCTCTTTTGCCAGCTCCAGGCCCTGTGCCTCCACCTTAGCAGATCTACACAGCAGCTCAGCCCTGGGCACAGCCTGGGAAGTCTTCCTGGAAGAGTCAGGCTTTCCAGCCAGCCTCACCAAACTTGCAGAGGCCATCTGCTCCCCACGAGTAGCAGAAACAGAAGAGACGCGTGGAGGGGGCACAGGGACCATTTGTGGCAAAGAGGGTACGCGTGGAAGAGTGGCACACTGCCCCGAAGCAGGCCACACTGCAGTGCTAATGCCTTCCTCAGCACAGAGAACTGCTGAGGGGGAACCTGCTGGCACTGCCACATCCCCGCTGTGCCTGACAGAAGGGCATTTGGAAGGGGATAGCACGGTTAAACTGGGAGGAATGCTGCTGGAGTCTGCATCTGCTGAATCGGGAACCAGTTCTAGGGAGGGTTCAGGAATCAGAGACATAGTCTGCAAAAAGGAGAGAGAAGAAAGAAGGAGAAAAAAAAGAAAGATAAGAAATAAGAAACAGAGGGCAGAAAAAAGAAGCATGGTATAAAGTGTTTTAACAATTGTGATCTCCAAATCAGGAGCCATGTTGATCCTGAGCCTTACATCAGAGAAACAGGAATGAGAACAGGGTAGCAAAGAGGAGAATCGATGTGACATTGTGCTGATCTTTGCATGAGATCACAGGATATGAAGCTGAACAGCCATCAAGATCGTTCTTCTCTGCCACCCTCTTACGTAACACCTCATGTGTTCACCTGCAGTGCGATGGGGGCACGCAGCAGCTGCCAGGAAGCCAGCTATAAGCCCAGGAATGTCTGCACTGCGGGTGAAGGTCACATTAGCAACTCACTCATACTCAGCTATGTACATTCTATATTTCAAAGCTGAAAAAAAAAAAAAGCAATCGATGAATAGAACAAACCATGACGTTTTCTTCTCCATGCACTAAAACTGCTCCAGTTGCCCGAGTTCACAGCAGTGAGAACAAAGCCTCAGGGCATGCACAACAAAAGCAGATGACGCGGGCTTTGCTCTACTCACTGAATCAATCTCACCTTGGAGGTGATACACAGTGAATCACAACAGCTTTGCCAGTCATTCCATGCCCTTCTAAACTTTGCTTAGATTGCCAGATGAACCTCTTCTCCTTAGGTCACAATCTCCACATTTCAATTGTAACAAGATCAGTATTCATTTTAATCCGAAATACACCCTAACAAGAGTGACTGAGACAAATTTTTTTGCTCTCCTTGGCTCAGAGGGTTTTTAAAATAAAATAAGAATCATGGATCCTCCTTTTCCTGTTTTCAGTGGCTCCTGGCTGAGCCTTAAGAGACAAACTGGCATTGCACCTTTTTCTCAAAGAGAGAAAAATCAGAACATTGCCGTAGCCAAGTTCACACAGTAGGTCAACCTAAGGCCAATGCAGAGCCCTGTCATTTTAAAAAACCTATCCAAAGTTCTCCAAATCCAACAGATATCAAGATATGCTCTGGTTCTTCACTGTGTTTTTTGAAAAAGCTTTAAGAAGTTAGACCCTCACATCCTAATGTAGCAACAGCTCAGTCTTTACTTACCTGTATGAGGACTTGTCATGAATAAAAGGAAAAAATTAACCAGAACACAAACATGATCTGCCAATAGCTGGAAGAGACCTGCAGGTGACTTAAGCAGCTCCCAGGCCAAGGGGTCAGGAGCCAGCAAGCACACACACTGGTGAAGTCCCCAAGTAGTGCCATGGAGGGGCATCTTAGAAAGCAGTAGGGGGACTGCAGTTAATCACAGGTTGCTCCTCATTTCCAGGAGGAAATCAAGATGAAAAGAACCAGCAAGTACATTAATTAGTTACAATAACAAGGGAATTTCCTCATATTGCCCTCCTCCCTGTATTTTGCCTAACGTGGATGTACCTGTACAAATGGGTGTAAATGGCTATAGCTCACTTACTCAGTTTCCAGACTTTCTAAAACAGTCAGCTGTTGGCAAGGCAAGGCTGGCATTTTGCTCAGAAGCAAATATTTCCAGCATACTAAAAGCATACTAATTCCAAATTAAGAGCAAGGGCTAAATACGTAACAGTAACATAACAGTTAAACACGAGCAGCACAATGTGCAGTCAGCTGGAGTCACATTACACAGAAATGTCAGAGGCAAAAGAACCAAGTGCATTAAGTAACCTCAGTGCTGATGAGCTAGATAACCAAAATCAAATGGATCCTGTAAGCAAAAAGAACGACCAACTCATTAAAGTGAGCAAAAGATAAAAGGGTAATGTATCAGTCTGTAACAGCATCTGTTACTCTGGGCTATGACAGAAGTGAAACATTGGTGCTGCCACCTCTCCCACTGCCATCCACTGGGGCCTGCAGCAGCCACCAACTCCAGCTAATTACATACTGCACTTCGTTCCTCTGTCCTTTTTCTTGCAACCACACACAAGTCTGGCACGTGAATGACAGCCTTTTCTTTTTCACCATTGGGAAAGACCCCACTTCTCCCCCTTACACCCTGTCACTGGTACAGACTAGAACATCTTTACAGAGAAGTCAGCACCACCCATTGGCACAAACAGGGGAGGTAAAAACAAAGAAAAAGGACTGAAAGGAAAAACAGGATAAAGTAAAGCAGCTGTCCAAAAGCAGCCAATGACAATAATAATAAAAGAGAAACTATTACAGAAATCGTGTTGCTGGTTCTGTGGGAAAAAAAACATTTAGACAGACAACGATCCTGAGCTCAATGCCTTTCAAAAACCCTAACACTGCATTTATAAATCTTGAGATCTCATTGCATTTCAGGTTGCTTTTAGAGTTCAAGCAGAAAAGAAGCCAGGAAGGAGGGCAGTGTTACAGAAAGCATCTAGCCTCGTCCATGCAGTTTTATTGGAGTTGCACAAAACAAAAAAGCCTGCTCTGGGCAAGGACGTCCCCTGCTGCCAAAGCTCACCAGGAGCAAAGGCTGGTGGCAGCAACCACACCTTGAGCTTGTTTTCTGAGCCCTGATAAAGCAGCAGGAGGCCCTGGCACTGACAGCACGCAGAAGCAGCGAGGCAGGGTACGCTGCCAGCAGCACAGGTGGGAACTCTCCAGCTTCACAACAGCACAATTTTTCAACTGCATGGAACAGATACTCGCTGATAGCCTGCTCTCTGCCCTAGGGCCTAATATGGAAAAAGAAAAGCACCAGTAAGGCATCACTATTTGCAGTGACTAAATACGTACTAAATTAAGTCCAGAGAAAACAGCGAGTTGCTCCTTGAGTCTCACAAAGTCAAGTACGTGAGTCACAGACTGCAGGCTTGAATTGAAGCCAATAAGTACAGGGCAAGCAAAGTCCCAAGGAGCATGCAGGCTTCTCAGCTGCCTACATCTTCTCAGAAAACACTGCTCAGCTCTGACTGCCTTGGGACCAAACTCATGGTAGGGGATGGAGGTTAACACAGCCAAGAAACATCACCAAGTACTGGCAGATTCTTCCATGTGAGGAAAATGTAACAGAGTTTGGAACTTTTGTAGGATTACAAAGCAGACTTGCACGTGTATGTAAGAAAGGCACACCCAACAATGACAACATATTAGGTATTTGCTTCTCCACCTCTCTCAGAACAAATTCAAGGGAATAATTCAGCAATGCTATAAGCAAACAAGTAGAGAGAGCAAAATTATTTTGCTATGACTGTGGGTAGATGAACCATGAAAATAAACTCCACAGTTAACCACCTAGTGTAAAAAGGATAGTATACCTAATTGAAAAGAAATGCGTGCATTTGTAAGTTCTCTAAGTACACAGAGCAAGTGCTTGATGCTCCAGTGGCAAGTTATTCCTCCACTTCTTCTATTAGGGGAATTTTTTCGTGTGTCACTTGTGACTGAAGTAGCAGTCCTTTTCCAACACAGTACACTGATTTGCAAACAAGATCCTGAATACTGTTTGCCATCCTTCACCCACACAAGCTCAGTCTTTAATCCTATTTGGAGCTGAATAATTGATACTGTTTTAAAATTGAAACCCTTGAAGTTTTCAGCTGCTTGATGCAAAGGTTTCAATGCTCATATCACATGCCTTTAAGCCCCTAATACCCTCCTCAGGAAAGCACAAAGTATAAGCACACTGCTGCAGAGGGTCAGCCCATGGAACAGAAGAGCCTGGCCCCTGTCATGGAGCAGAGCGGTGCTGTCTCAAGCTTCCCTACTTCTCATTCAGTTGCAGCATAGCAAAATAATTCACCCTGCACCGAGCAGCAACTAAGCTCGTTATCTTTGCCAAATGCAGACAAACTGCAGAATGGATGGAAAAACAGACCCCAGAATTCCCTTGCCCACAACAGCGACAGGAAACTATTGCAGTCAAGAACCTATAGCAGCACAAACACCACCAAAGGAAGTTCCACAAGACGAGAGGTAAAGCAGGCATTCAGGAAATCAGTTAAGGTCAGCAGATGTGGCCAACATGCAAGAGCCTGGGCGTGGGAAGGGATGAGATGAGGTGCGAGCTGTCAAGATAAAGCACCTTAAAGTCAGAGAGGGACGCCATCAGCTCATCCAGTTCTCGTGTGGCTGAAGAAGCAGAGATACGGGTCTGCTGCTGACTGGCGGTGACACGCTGGGGGCTGCTCACCTCCCCTTGGCTCACAGTGATTGCAGGGCTGATGAAAATAAAATATATTTATTTTTAAAGAGTGCATCTAGGCCTGGGGGAGAGCTCCTAGACTGAAAGCTTCACTGGCTCCTCTAAACAAGCAAGCGTGGCAAGTGTCATTGGCACTGCTCTTCCTATCCAGCCCTCCCACTGATCCAGCTTCTGCAACACACACAGGTCCTGTCTCTCTGCCAAGTCTAACATGAGTGTACATGCACATACATCCACCCATTACTGAACGGATCATGACCAAACACTCATCTGGACAAACAGCTATAAACCTGAGTTTAAAAAAAATGTGCCACAACTCAAGTATTCCTTCATCCAAGAAGAGCTGCAGCAGATAGAAGAGCAGGAGCATCTTCAAGTGCCTGCTTGACTTCCCACTCTACAGCCAAGGGACGTCTGTCACTGTCCCACAACATCTGCCCCTCCACTACACTCCCTATTCCCATAACAGCCCGCCCAACCCCACTGCATCCACCAAAGCACTACTTACACTGGGCTTGGCACAGAGCTCTCCAACTCATCCAGCAGGCTTTCCACACTGGGACGCACATCTTCGATCCCACGCCCACCATTTCGCTTTGGTTTTTCTTTCGTAGGGGGTGCAGCCTTCCCCCCTGCAGAGCTGCTGCTCTCTGGGACGACATAGTGAGGTCCGGTCACGTTGGGCAGTGATGGGCTTCTGCTGACTTCATCTTCAGAACAGAGGAGCAGAGTTGTTCAGACACATAGGCCCATGTATATATGCAAACAAGAGAAAAGAGCAACATGCTGCCCAGAAACCCTGTGGAATCTCCATCTTTGAGAATATTTAGAACTTAGAGCACAAGCAACATGTGCTCTAACTTTGAAATTGTGAAGTTAGAGTCATTTCCAAAGTTGGCCCAGCACTGCTGAACCTCAAGAGATCCTATCCATATTAAAGGAATCTTTGCTCAGGGCTGGAGTCATCTTCCTCAGCAAGGCTGTTGGAAGGAAGAAGCAGGCTGCTACTCTGGGAAGTAAGCTATTCACTAACACCAAATGTCTCGCTAGTCCTTACCTGCTGGGAAGCCACTGGAGGGATTATGTTGAACAGCATTCAGTTCCAGGAGAAGCCTGTCCAGTTCCGAGAGGTTGCTGCCCAGAGAGGTGCTGGTCATTGTGGGAGACGGTTCTGCAGACTTCTGCTTGTTTGGGAAGCTAGAGATAAAAGGGAAGTGTAAAACTTCTGCTTTAAGACACAGCAGAACGATGGAGGGAAACTTAGATATTAAGTTCACAGAGTTCACACAGGTACTGTGTTATTTTCAGGCTGAGGTTTTTAGCTCTGTGGGCAAAGCTGTGTGCTTTGTGAAATGACTATCCCCACAGCTGCTGTTTAGCCACATCTTCACTTGTCAGTTACAAAGAAACAGCACTGATAGAAAGGGGCTCAGATCTCAGGACTTTGCTGCACTGTCCTACAGCAAAGAGTTAACTGTCTACAGATCCAAGATGCACAGAACAGCAGCAGAACCATTAGCTGGCATACAGGAAAAGGGCCTGTTTCTGCTGACAGCACACCAGCAGCAAAAACCTCTCCTCTGAAGGAAGGGGATGCAGGGCCAGCGCAGAATGGACAAGAAGTACAAAAGTCAAGCTACCAAAGCTACAAAAGCAGCAGATTGTGTGTCCCACAAAAGGCTGCCATGAGGTCTCTTTTCAAGTCCTCAAATCTTTACTTTGATGAATTTTAATCAATTTATAAGAAAGTAATCTGACAGATTTTCACGGCGTTCAACACAGAAGCCTTTAGAGAGGCTTACCTACACACGAGTATATATATATATATATATGTATATATATAACACACTGCCTGTAGTTACAGCTTATGCTATAAGGGAGATCCCATTTAGCCATGCTCAACTGCAAAGTGTTTAAAAGCAGAACAGTACCAGTGCAATGATCTGTACAGTAATCTGTACACTAATGTAGTGATCTGTACACTACTAACAATCGACGCACTGTCAATAGCAGGGAAATAATTTTCTCCTAGTTTTATTAATGGACAAATAACTTTTAATGCTTCAGAAATTCTTATTCCTAAATCCAAAATGGGAATTTGTCTTGGGCACACCTCAGCTTTCTGCTCAGAAAGTTAATACATAACAGGTTGAGCACCATCATACCTATAGCACTAGTGACAATTATGGAACTTCATAAAGGCAGTTATCATCTTTCTCTTCAGATTGAAAACAAAGTCCACAAACACAATCTGAGAAGGACATACTTCATCCTGGCCTAAGCACACAAGCTCCAATTCACACAAGAACCAGACCATGCCAGGCTCTTTTACAGGAGGATTCAGGGCCCTAATTATCTTGATTTTGTACTAATTGCATGCAGCCCTCTGAAAAATTGCAATTACTGCCTCCATTGAGCCATCCCTGGATACTTCTGGTTCTACCCTGTAGTAGTTCTGGTTGCAAGCAGCCTTCAGCTCAGTATGAAGACCTAGGCACAGTTAGAACATTGACAGGAGAGCAACACTCATCCCCACACCTATAAAAAGGTACCCGGGACAGAGTGCATCACACGGGGCCATCAGAGATGGAGCTATGGCAGCTTCTTCCTCTCTCACCCCCATGTCAGCAGGAAGGTCTGTCTCACCACACAGGCCATCCCTGCAACCTCTCAGTGCAATAACAGCTGTCCATTAGTATAATATAATTAGTAACTGGTAATGTCAGAAGTACTGACAGAAGTTTTAAAGCCTTCATGAAGAAATTTAAATGTACTTGAAAATCCAAATAATGGCACATCCCGCTAGGTGATGGGTACTGCATTCCTTGAGACAACTGACTCAAAGGCCACCCACTTCCTAAAGCATGTGGGGTTGCTTAAGAGGGGGACAGATTTGTCACTGGTCTCTGGATTGTATCCCTCAACACAACCCAGATCCTGATGGATCCTCAAACTTCTTCCACAGCTGAGCAAACTGAAGGCCCAGGTCAACACTTTAAGTGAATGTAAAAGATAATGCAGTAGCCTCTTACGAATGAGGTAATAGAAACCAACACAGGGCAACAGAAAATATACAGGAAGTGCAGTGTTTGTTTCCAGCTTCAGAAGGCAGCCTGAGCCACAGCAGGCTCAACCCGCAAGTCAGGCTTCTCTCTTAGCAAGGACAAGGTACCTGTAGACGTGTTCCTCCTCACTGGCACGGGGAGAAGGGGAGCTGAGCCCGTCTCTAGGAGCAGAGGCACTGGAGCTTTTGGCACTAGAGCTGTAGATCGGAGACTGGGACTGAGGCTGTGGAAATAAAATTTGCACTGGAAACAGGGAACACAACAAGAATATACACACTGTATTGCAACCCTACATGCTGCAGGAGAAAGTACAGCAGCAAAAACCTATTACATAGCCCACCCAGCCCCCATCAGATGACCTACACCAGGAACAACTGTTTTCCACTTGCCTCAGATTTGCCTATGAGTCGCAGACCTGAGCTGGAAAGCCCCAGCTTGCTTCCTACAGGCTACAGGACTGATGACTAACCCTAATCCCATCACACTACCACTTTGGTGGAGCACCAACGATGGGTTTTGAGGTCTTTTCTGCTATTTGATCTGACCTCCCCTCATTTCCCCAGTCTTTAGCCAATGTCATCCTCCCTCCTTGCTGTTTCCTCCCCTCATCTAGCCCCAACAAACCACGCACACACTCTCCCCACCTCCATCAGCACGTTCTTACTTGCTGGTGGGCGTATCTGGATACGCTGGGCTGCCACTGGTCCAAGGGGTCAATCACAGTGCCATTTAGGGCCTCACTGGAAGGCGGCGGAGGCACCGGTGGTGGCACAGCAATCTCCTGGTACGTGTGGTTTCCAGTTGGGTAGGAGTAAGGCGTTTCCTCTGTTAGAAACACTGGTCGCTTAGAGATATGCGAGGTGGTGGATTCCAGGTCTGCCAGTAAGGCGTCTGCAGGAACAAAAAACACACAGTATTGTGAAATCCCAGACAACAGATTCTTTTGCCTCGTTCACAATATCCCCATCAGAAAGTCTTCAGGAAGTTTTCATTTAAGGTGATCTACCAAATGTGCTGTGAGTTGCTGCTGCACCTCGGACTTCCAGTACAAAGGAAAGGCTCAGAGATATCAGAGCAGTCAGAAAAACTGTGTCAGCCTCAGATCTTTGTCTTAAATGGAAAACCATGCAATAACTGCGACCTGCAGTCGCACAGCGTACGCTTTGCAGAAGAGCAGCCTAGGAGAAACCTGCCTAGAGATGGACTTGCAACAGGATATTGACACAGGCTAATTACAGGCCCCACATCATCATGGAGTCATTTAACGTGGCCGCAGGCGCTGCTTTTTGCAGGAAACAAGATCTCGGGAGGGGTTTTCTCCAGAGCTGAAGGCACTGCAAGAAGCATGCAGCTTTCAAATGAGTCTATCACCGCGGCAGAAGGAAGATGTGCTTCAGCTTTCCTAAGAAGAATACTCTGCACATATCACAGTTAATGAGCTTCCAGAGCCTGCCAGGTAAATGCAATTTCTTCTCCTGGAAATAATTAGCTTGCTGGATGGAGCCTGCTCACAGATTCCTGAAGAGAAGAAAAAACTTCCACTCGCTAGAAACAACGGCACTCGTGCCAGGCAGAGGAGCCCATGCCATAAGGTTAGCACCTCTCAAATCTTAAAGCAGGAAAAAATACACACCCTCAATAGCAGGAGGATAAAACCCATCTTTCGCCTTCCTGGATTTCCTCCTGCAAACTACTCTCCGCCCATTCCAAGCCCTGCACTGCTCTGCTGTGACTCACAGGCAAATCCCAGCTTGCTGGGTTTTCTGTCCTGCGATTCCACCCCGCTGAGCCGACTGCAGACCAGGGTGGGGGAAACTCCTGCGAACAACTGCAGGTCTGCACTGCACACACTCCAACAGAAAGCCTCGCTGGCCGCCTGCCCAGCTCTCCAGTGAGCTCGAGCACACACTCTTTAAGGCCATTAGAGAGGAGCCGGGCTGCTGGGGACGGCAGCGCTCTCCATGACAAGAGCATCACATACCTGGTAGGACCCTGTGGTGATGTGCAGTTCAGCCAGACACCAGCAACACGATTTGGGCAAACCTGGAGGAGAGGCCCTGGGAATGCCCCTGCCCCGTGCACAGCCCCAGCTGTCACAGCAGTCTCGGTGTGCAGGAGCTGCCCTTCCCCCATGCACAACAGGGAACTCAACTCCCAGATTGTGGGGCTGAGGACTGAGCCCAGGCGGAGGGACCCACAGCCTCCTGCAGGCAGGGTGGCAGGGAGCTGAAGTGACCAGAGGCAGCAGAACAGGAGCTAAACCAGCTCACCCTAATGGCTGCCTACCAGCTCCCAGGGGCTGGCACCCGCCAGCCCAAAGCCACTTCCTCAGTGCAGCCAAGGCACTTAGCAAGCCTCCAAAAAATATATTAAAGGGTCAAATGGAGGACAGCATCATCGCATTACAAGACAGGAAGGTACTGCTTTTATATTCAACTCTTCCACAAAGCAAAGCATCATAAAAGAAAGAAAAAAAAAAAAAAGAGCAGCTCTGCCCGCAGATAACAAATTCGCTATTAGCAAATTAAATACTGAGTTAATTTAACTCCACACACCTTTCATTTAGCCAGAAAGATGCTCCAAAATAATTTCAACCAAAGGCGTCTTCCCAGAGGGACCAAAATAGCCCAGGAGCAGATTCTCCTAAGGGATACAGCTTGCTGCAGCTGGGGAAGAATGAGTTTGATCTTCTTTTTAAGCAAAAGAGCAGCTGGTGGATTCCACAGTGAAAGGCACAGACATACCTCAGGAGAACGCTGAAGAGCTGCAGTTTTTTCAGCCTGGTCCTGTGGCTGGAGGTTTTGTGCACACAACCTCCAACAGAAGTGCTACCCAAGAAGGTGTGGCTTTTGCTTCTCCCCACCAATGACAAAAGCAAATCAAACTCTACCAGGAAGTAAAAATCTCATGAGGTTGTATGGCTCGTCCAGCCCCGTATGGGGACCCAAGTCGTATTTCCACCCCCAGCCCTCCCTGCAGGACAGAAGATGTAACCATCTCACCAAACAGTTTGCCTCCTCAGCTCAGCACCCTCTGCTGAACGGTTCCTTGGGCAGAAACACAGCTCTTTTTTTACTAATAGCAATGAAGGGAGCTCAGCTAAATGGAGTGGTTTATTCCAGCAAGTCTGCAGGTGAGGAGTCTGGCAGTGGCAGGAGCACTCCGCTCTCAGGCTGCGAAGGAGTTAAGGAGACATTGCAGTTTAATGATTAACTTCCCCCATTCCCTCCCCCTTCCCAACTTGAGCAAACAAGGCAGAACTGAGGAACAGGAAGCAGAGGGAGGAGAAAAGGCTGGAGAGGAATCGCGCAGTTGGAGGGTTACTGCAACTGCTCTCAACTTCCCAACTGATGCCACAGCAGCTTCAGCAATGCATGCACACCTCACTTCCCCTGTGGCACAGGATCCCTCACTCTCTTTGCTCCCCCTGTGTTCTGCAAGGCCCCTCTCCCTGTGCCTATCTGACGTGCCCAGAGCCGGGTTGCTCCTCCCTGAGCTCGCTGCCACGATGGAGGGAAGCTCTTCTCCACCCACAGCCGTCCCCATTTCTCTTTCCAGCCACACGTGTCCTTTCCTGGACCAGTTCCAATTATCAGAACACAACATGAGGCAAGGGAAGGAGCTAAGAAGGGAGTTCTACTGATGGAAAAAAAAGAGCCATTGCTCCCTACCTTTCTCTCACAAAAGGGACCTCAGGGACCAGACAACCCTAACTTGGATGACTGTAACAAAGGTGCTGTGCCTTGTGCAGCGCTGTCACTGCAGCGACTGCTCCACAAATAGAAATATTCAATTCTTAAACAGAAATATTAAAGGCTCTATTGATTTCTCAGCTAATGAAGTGCTCCTTCCCAAGGCGACTCTATGGCACAGGGCTGCAGGAGGCGGCCATCAGCCGCTCGGTGCCACACAGCCCATAGGGCACACCAGAATGGAGCAGTGCAGCCGTCAGAGGGCACCACCACAGCCTGTAAGGATGGAGCAGGAACCCCGCGTGGCAGCGGCTGGGTTGGCACTGATGCACCTCACCCGGTCACCTACAGCCTCCTCCTGCTTTCGGCACACTGAAGCCTTCTGTCAGCACTTCTGCACTAAGGAGGGGGTGTGGAAGAGCAAGGGACACGATACCAACAGAGCTACTGCTGCATCACTGCAGTCACAAAGCCTCAGCTCACCGTGTGCTGCATCCCTGAAGGTGTTCAAGGCCAGATTGGATGGGGCCCTGGGCAGCCTGGTCTGATATTAAATGGGGAGGTTGGTGGCCCTGCCTTTGGCAGGGGGATTGGAAATTCGTGACCGTTGAGGTCCCTTCCAACCCTGGCCATTCTGTGATTCTGTGCACAAAGCACACCTCAGGGCACACCACGTCTTGGCACTGCTCAGCACAGCACCCTGCAGATGTGGGAGAGGCACAGAAGAAGAGTTTCCTTCCCTCCACCACAGGACCCAAAGCTTGCACACACAAGGGAAATCACACTCCACCAGAGGGTTGCCCAGCCCACATCCTGCCTGCTGTGGGAAGACAGCTGTGTTCACCTTCAAGTGACATTTCAATGCTGTTTCCTGGGGAGGTGGGACAGTTAAAGAGTGATATCATGATTGATAATTTACTACTAAACAGCACTCTGAGACATCTAGAGGTCTGGGCACGTTTGACTCTCCCTTGTGCAAGAAAAGCCATTATTATCTACAGGGTTCTTGGGATCCTGGCCTTCCAATCCCACACTGCAGATGCATTAGGTACGGATGAGTGGCTCCTAACACTGACTGCACTGCTGCCAGCCTCATCAAAGCCCTGCCCATCTCTCAGCCTGGGACTGAAATTGCAGCACAACACGCTCTGCAATGTTAGAGGATGGAGGAAAAGGTAACTGATGTCCGGTGCACTGAACTCTCCACAAAAAAACCCTCACACCAAGACGACCAGCAAGACGAAAGAGCACAGCAGTACCTTAGGGGAAGTTCCACCCACCAGTTCAAGTTGCACTGAGAAGAGCACTTATCTCCTGCATGGCCCTGTGCACACCTCATGCATTCCCAGCACAGGATCCTGCACCATCCCTGCGTGCCAGCACCTGCTGTCCTCTGAATGCTCTGAACCATGTGCAGCCTCAGGGTACATTCCTCAGCTTCATCTGATAAAGAGCAGTAATGCCCACCTGGGGTCACAGCACAGCCTCTAACTGACGGCTAACAGGGGACCCTTTGTACTGATGAACACAGCAACTCCCTTCTCTATAAATCTGAGCTGCACTCAGCCCTGCTTAATAGATGGTAAGGTAGTTAGAAAAGATACTGACATGCATCTTCCTGTGTGCAAAGCATGCTGTTGGGGCACTCCCCCCCTGTGCCTTCCATGCACATCAGAAATGCTCCCAGACTGAGGTGTGCCACCTGTTCAGTGGTGCAGAACACATCACAGACCAGTGCATAACAAGGCACTGACAAATTCCCATCTGCCCATCAGCAACAGGTAAATTTGCTTTTGCTGATTAAAGAGAAGCATTCCATACTGAGTGTCCAGCATGACTCCAGGCTCAGAGGGCTGGAAACAAACCTCAGCACAAAGATGCCAGCATTAGTGCCACAAGAGAGAAAACCACCTGGGCTTTCCACATGGAGTTCATGGCTGAAGATGAGCCATTAAGCCGTGCTGGCACTGCACACTGGAGCATCACCAGTGCAGCAAGCACATCAAAAAGATGGTGGTCACACTTTCTTCTTCTTCCTACCTGCTGGGAAGGAAACAGACACACAGCTGAGGCAAGATGCTTCCACAGCTCCACATATCAGCAGCTGAAAGCCACTTACACACATCCATCAAACCACACACTGCCTGCAGCTCTGCTTCAAATGAGACATCTGGAAAGCAAGCAATGCTAGAGATGGGATTCTTCACCCGGCCACCACATGGAGCCCGTGCTGCAGCGTTCAGGCATAGTCCCACCTCCCAGCATCACCCTGCCACGTGTCCCTGACAGCCCAGGCACGGCACACCAGGACATGAGGGTGAGATGCGCCAGCACGTGCTGCAACGCTTCACCCAGCGCAGTGCAGTGCAGGTGGCTGCAGCTCTGCCATTCCTCCCCACACAGCCAGAATCACGCCACGTTCCCCGAGGTTAGGCAGCAGTAGATTTGCCACTGACTTGGCAAATGGAAATAGAAAGCAAAATAGCTGCAATTACTGGTGTAAATGAGGACATGGACTACGTGTCATAGTTGTGTCCCTCAGCGTAAGACCAACTGCAGATCCCCATATGCAGAATGACAAACCATTCTCTAGCCACTTTTTCTCAATAGCTTAAGATGCTGAACTCAGGTCCTAGATTTCTGCTGTTGCCTTAAAGAGAATGAGGGGAACTGCACATGCAGAACCAAATCCTGAGCTCCCACATTCATCTGAGCAGCCTCTTTGCAAAATCCTGGAATCCAAACATAAAAAATCTCCTTAGGTTCAAGTGAGTCTTCCCTTGCTCAGCTCCAGCAAAGCCAGCTCACATACAGGGAGACAGCTCAGGGCAGTAACCCAACCCCTGGCAAGACAGATTTACATTGTGAGTAACTGCAAAGGAATGGGGAGCTTGGGTATATTTATCCTGCTAAATGGCCTTTCAGAAGAAACA